CTATAGGACTATAGAATTCTAGGGTTCCCCGGAATGATCCCGAAACCTAAGATCGCTCTCCCGTGCGTTCGTGTCGCCATGAGGCCACAATCATTGCCGGATATAGCTGCCCCCCAAATACAGGATCCTTCGGATTATATGTGTTTCGGGGATGCTGTAGATAACCAAGCACAGCCGAAACAAATATACTATATGTATGCATATCTGTGTATGTATGTATGTATGTATGTATGTATGTATGTATGTATGTATGTATGTATGTATGTATGTAGTATGTGCAATATATATATATATATATATACTTAATATCCCGTCCAAAACGGGGAATCCGTTCTATCCCGAGGACTCAACACGCTCCGGGCCTGTGCACTCTGGCGCCAGTGCGAGGCAACGCAGCAGTTCACAACAGCTATCCTTAATGCAGAGTTAGGGGTTACGGAAGGCGTTTTGGTGTACATGCATCGTTAATGGATACAGTGGGGACTGAAAGGAAAACCTGGCACTACTGTTATTCCGGCTTCTGCAGCACAATTTCAGCATTTAGGGTCTCGGTCTTGGCATTCGCGTTTCGCGCTGTAGGGTTTTTGTTTGTTTGGTGTTGGAGTTTTGCGTGTCCTCGTCCAAAGCTGCTGCTGCTGCAACTACAAAAAGGAACAGTAATCATTACTACCCCACTGGTACTTACTGCCATGGTTGCTGCTACTGGTAATTAACACAAACATGTCCAGTCGGATTTGTGCACCTTCTCCGCCCGAGAAAGAGTTGAAAGGATCCAGAAGTGATCACCGCAAATACTGGAGATGATGTTGTCCTACTGAACAGCAAGAATCTAAATCTATAGGACTAATGGTTTATAATAACATTACGTACGTTTGTGGGTACCGGTTTTATTTTTTTGTCATGTCAAGCAATACCGACAATGGCTAACGGGCGGGTCATCATAAGCAAGAATGTGACCCGATAGTTGCAGCTGGAGGAAAAACACACTAGCAACTGCAAGAAGAACAGTGCCACCCATGCGTTGTTTTGTAGCAGCATCAACGCTGAGGGTGTTGCTGCTAAGTCTGTTACACAAGTGTTGTGGCTTTTCGGTTGCGGTTGCAGGTGCAGAGAACACTCGGAGGCTTGCAAAGTTTGGGCTTCTTGTACAGTTTCGTGCTCAGCCTCGGTTGTTCAGGCTTGGGGGACTCCACATAGGGTTTTGGTTTTAACTGAAATGTATGCATGTAGGAAGCGGTGCATGATCATCTTTTGCAGATTGTCGCGGGAATCCTTATTCTGGGCCCTATCTAGGCTGTTTGGTTGCCATGCGGATTCCTTACACCTTCAACACTCGGCCTTAAACTCCCATCCCCTAAGCCCCTAAACCCCTAAACCCCTAAACCCGTAGACCCCTAAACCCCTAAACCCCTAAACCCCCATAACCCCCATAACCCCCATAACCCCTATAAACCCTGAACACTAAAACCCCTGAACCCTAACACCCCTAAGCCCGAAAAGCCTCAACCCTCGGTCCGAAGTCCTAAGAACTAAACCCAGAGAGCCGTTGCTCTTGCAGGTGTATGTTGACCTCGTAGAGGACCGCTCGACTGGATGGTGGTCCGGGTGGATTCCGGGTTTAGGGCTCAGGGTTTAGGGCTTATGTGCTGTTCTGTAGCGATTCAGGAGTCAAGGGTTTGGGATGTTCACCTTAAGCCCTAACCCCTAAACCCTAAACCCTAAACCCTAAACCCTAAACCCTAAACCCTAAACCCTAAACCCTAAACCCTAACCCCTAAACCCTAAACCTGTTGGCTTCGGGTGGCTTTTGGATGTTTAGGAGTTTTTGGGGGTGCTAAGCCCGAAACCTTGAGCCAGAGACTCATTCTAAACTTTAGGGATTGGGGTTTAGGGGTTTAGGGTTTAGGGTTTAGGGGTTTAGGGTTTAGGGGTTTAGGGTTTAGGGTTTAGGGGGCATTTACACGGCCAACTCATACATCCCTAATATAGGGGCCTGAAAGATAACTAGATAGTATTCTGGGATTCCTTATTATTATGATTATAGTATAACGGACCCACACCATCCTATTCTAATTATCAAGGCCCCTAAACCGGTTTAGGGTTTAGGGTTTAGGGGTTTAGGGTTTAGGGCCCCTAAACCCGAAACCCATGAACCCCAAAGCCCAATCCCCAGGAGCTGGTCCACTACTTTCACCACAAGCAGCCGAAGGGCGATGGGGCAATCCTGATCTTCTTGCCAGGTGCAGAGCCTGTTTGGGGTTAGGGTTTAGGGTGTGGTTTAAAAGCTTAGGGTTTAGGGTTAGGGTTTAGGTTAAGGGTTTAGGGTTAGAGTGACAGGTGCCGCTGCCGTCTTTGGAGTTGCCTAGAGGAGTGTCGCCTTCGCAAATTACGGGTCGAAGGTTCTCTGTGCGTTTTTTAGAATTCTGTAAGGGATCAAGCCCAACTTAGAAGGGTGTTAACAAAGCTTCAGTGGTAGGTTTGATTTTGTGGCACTTCAATCTCCTGGTGTCTTTTAACTTTTTGGGCCACTTCACCATTGCCGCTCCTTCATGTCTTGCATGAACCCTAAACCCTGAACCCTAAACCCTGAATCCTAAACCCTAAACCCTAAACCCTAAACCCTAAACCCTAAACCCTAAGTGTCGGAACCTGAACGCCCAAGCGCAAAGGGCAGACGGGCGATTTTCTATCACTCAGACCTGGACCTGGCTTAGGGGGGTTTAGGATTTGAGGGCTCAGCCAGCGTTCAGGGGTTCAGGGTTTAAGGGTTCAGTGTTTAGGGTTCAGGGTTCAGCATTCAAGGGTTCAGGGCTTAAGGGTTTAGCGTTTAGGGTTCAGCGTTCAAGGGTTCAGGGTTTAGGGTTCAGGGTTTAGGGTTTAAGATTTTGGCTGCGCCTGCGCATTTTCAGGCTGGGGCGACATCACGAAGACATACATCCGCCTCTACCAGTCAGGCCACATCCTAGGGTTTAGGGTTTAGGGTTTTGAGCTTCCGTTAATAATGTTCACGGTGCGTCTGGCGAAGTTCGAGTTTTCCATAAGAAGAACACCGTTTATGTACTATGATTCTATGATACTATAGATTCCCGTTCTGGCAATGTCAAATTAAGTTCCGTAAATCAAAAAAAGGCAGCCTTTCGTACACGATAATATGGATCTCTGTTAAGGAAACCAGTTAAGTACTTCAGCAAGAGCCTCACTCTAAAAAGGCTTTTGCGGGCTCCTTGCTCACATCCGTCTCTGCAAGGACACGGTAGGCAATTACAGCTCTTTGGATTTCAAGGCTCCATGCAGAAACCCTAAACCACCAAACTTTAAAACCCAACAACAACCGTTCACCCTTTAGCAAAAATCAAGGCTCTGGCAGTTCGAAGCTTTCTTCTCGTGATTTGAAGGTTGGTGTGTAGGATTCAAGTTCGTTCTTACGTCTTACGTGTTGGGGACTCAGGATTTGTTACGGCATTTGGGCTTGGCTTGTTGTCTAAAGTGTTTGGGGTGTAGAGTGAAGGTGTGCTAGTAGGATTTCGCAGGCTGTTGGTGGTGTAGGAAGTGAAGTATAGACAGGGACTCGGCAGGTTTCGTGTTGAGGGTTACAGTGAGGTCCACGATTTTTGCCGTGTAGGGTTTACATAGAATCGCAAAGCACAGGCACCTAGTTCCAAACCTCAAAAGCTTCTAGATTGATTCATTGACCCCGTTTCAAATCCAGCACTTTGTGTGCTGTAGGGTGAGGCAAACTAGCGCCCTAGTTCGCCCCGAAATATGTACCGCCCAACCTATCCCCGACCTCAGGGCCCCCCCAGCCCAAAGTCTACCTCAAGAGCTCAACAGGCCAACCCTCTACATCAAAGTTGTAATCCACAGCATAAACTCAACAAACCAGCTAACACCAAGCCTCAACCCGGCGCCTCAAGCAATCGATAAACTATTGCTTAGACTTGCCCAGCAAAGCGGAACCTCCTTGTAGAATCTTTGCATTTTCAGCAACTCATGTCTTTAATAATATGGCTTGCACTTATCTTTCAATCAAAAGTGCTTTTGACCTAGACTTCGTTTAAGTTTAGCCTCCCTGGCAGTATGACGCTTAAGGCAGCCATGCGCTCACCCTTGCGTTATCAATTTTATCATGCTTCCTTCATATGGTAGCATCATCCCCAACATCAAGCTCGGGATACTTACGTTTAGCTACTGATAGCAGGGCAAAGGTTGATTTCACTTCTGATTCCGCCTTCTTCATAGCTCCCTCTTTGAGCGTCGTTCCCATAGCAGAAGGCTTATCCGTTGTGGCCTGTAATGACTGATTATTTCAATTCCGTAGTCCGTCCATTGTATACTTTGTTATTTTTCTCATCAGCCTCTGCTCGCTTAAACAGCTTATCTTCAATTGTCTTGGTGCCCCTTTCGGGGAAATTCGGATCACCCTGGTTAAATCTGCTTCCATACCTGCATCTCCAAACACTCATTGGCAACGTTGCCACTTAAACTACCTTCCTCGTGTGAGTAAGGCCTCTGCCCGCAGGTGAGAACTACAAACTCATCACTCTGCACTCCTTGATGACACCGGAACAGCAGCACGAGGATCGAACGGGAGTCGGGCTTCGGGTCATACCCTAAACCTCAAACCCTGACCTTAGACCCGAAAGCCCGAAGCTTTTGGGCTCTGGAGCTTACGGTGTAAGTCAGGATCTACTGTTTCAGGCTCGAGTTGATTCTCTTCAGACATTCCCAGTAGTAAGCTTCGAGTGGCACCCTCAGCTGCAAAGTCATTTGAACTTACATGCTGCGGTTGGTAGCAAATCCAAGGAGCGTAGTTGCTGATGTCATACCAACCTGCCGTGCTGTGGAGTGGACAGGCCTTGATAGCGGATAAGCGGTTCCCTGACATCTACTTTGCAAGCTCACTCCAAGCCACTGCTGTTGCCGTACAACCTTACAACCCCAAGTCTAGTATGCCGCAAGTTCAACCCCCTTGAGTGTGCCTGTATGCCAACTCTGGCAAGGCCTTCGAGAAGCCACCTCCAGGCTATCGAAAGGCCACCCTGGTTCCTCACGAGCTGCTCAGTTCTTCTGCGGGGTCACGCGAAAATTCTATCGCTCTGTAGCTGGACAAAGCCCCTGGCCTATCTATATGTCGAGGGAAGCACACGAATATTCGTACAGTGATAGTGATGCCTCACATTCGCGATCTTGTGTCCTCAGATAGATATGATTGTGTTTCAACACATACGTAGTACGCACATCTATGCAGTCATGCATACATGCGCAAAAACAAACACACATACGTCATATGTACATACATGCATGCATGGCTACATACATACATACATACATACATACATACATACATACATACATACATACATACATACATACATACATACAGTTACGCATATTCCCACAACTATGCATGCAGTGTGTATGCATACTTGTGTGTAGACGTACTCCTATACGCATTTAGGTATGCTCGGTTGAACTTGCGGGCATCGGTTCTCCAGGTGGCAATGCAGTATTACAAGGTTGGGTTGCATCGCTGTGCCGTCGCAAGTTACGCCTCCTCCCCGCCTGCTGCCTGAAGCCAAAGCGCATCATCTCCAGCACCCTGCCTAAACATAAAGACCAAACGAGAACCCTACTTGGAGGTTCATGGGTAGTTGTAAGTGGAGTTATAAGTCCCTAACATAGGTTATAACTATAGTTACCCTACTTATAATAAGCCCACTTATAACTACCCAGGAAGCTCCAAGTAGCCGAAGCCCTAAACCCCAGTGAAAGACCTGAACCCGGAGGTCCAGTCACCTCTAGATCCTACACACCCCGCAGCCTCTGAACCTAGGTAACTAATATAGGGGCCTTCATAATTAGAATAGGGGGAGCCGTCATACTACTATAATGATAATAAGGAACCACCCAAGACAGTATTGGTAATTATTTAGGCCCCTTTCTTATCTGCCCTGCGTCCACTCATGTCCGCGTCAAGCGTTTGGAAGATGTCCAGCAACGACGGAAGAGCTCCCTTGATCTTGTTCTTGAGCTCCTGGTTAGGGTTTAGGGTTTAGGGTTTAGGGTTTAGGTTTAGGTTTAGGGTTTAGGGTTTAGGGTCTAGGACATTTTCAGGTGGGTAGTTACCGTTATAGGAGCCTTATAGAAGGTCTATATACCGTATGGAAGCCTTTTTGAAGCCCTATATACCCTAAACGCCCCACCTGTAGTTTCCTTCAACCTTGGGACGGTTCGGGCTCAGGGTTCAGGGCAAGGTCTAGGGTTTATGGGTTTAGGGGTCTAGGGGTTTAGGGTTTAAGGTTTAGGGTTTAGGGTTTAGGGTTTATAGTTTAGAGTTTAGGGTTTAGGGTTTAAGATTTAGGGTTTAGGGTTTAGGGGGTGGTATTCCTGCAAGGGGTGGGTTTCTCGGCTTCAACCCTGTATGTTTAGGTGCAAACTCTGGGCTCTGCCAGTGGAGATCATGGATTCAAACGGCTCCCGGAATTTCCGCATGATTCTTGCTTGATACCCCGTCTTGTAGTTTGATGGAGGCGCCCACCATGTATCTTCCTTACACAGCCCTTCTGTGGGTCGAACCCTAAACCCTTAACCCTAAACCCTGCAGTAGTTTGGGGTGTAGGGTTTAGGGTTTAGGGTTTAAGGTCCAGGGTTTAGGGTTTAGGGTTTAGGCCAGCAGCAGTGAATTGAAGCAAGGGACCTAACCATAAACCCCTGCCCTTAGCTTGAAACTCTAAGAACCTACACCCCTTGACCTATAAATCGTAAGCTGTGCAAAACCCCGATGAAAGCCCCTAAAGCTCAACGCCAGAAACGCCCATAACTAACCCCTAAACCCTAAACCCTGATCAAACCCTGTTAGATTCCTGTTGGGCACCCCCTTCGGATCCCTGAAACCCTGAACACCAAAACCCTTGTCGAACCCGTACAGATCTTTTGTAGGAACAATAAAAACCCCAAGCCCTAAAACCCTAAACCCTAAAACCACCTGAAACCCTCAAACCTAAACCCCTAAGGCCCTACAACCCTAAACCCTAAAACCACCTAAAACCCTGAAGCCTAAACCCCTAGAGCCCTGAAACCCCGAACCCTAAACCCTAAAGCCCTAAAGCCCTAAACCCCAACTGCGCCTGTCTGCCGGCTTCGGCCTCCTGCTGGGCCGACTCCTGGAAGAAGTGCTGCTTTGGGATTCAGAAGGAAGGTTCAGTGTACAGTGTTTAGGGCTCAGGGTTTAGGGCTTAGGGGTTTAGGGGTTCAGGGTTTAGGGTTTAGGCTTTAAAGGTTTAGGGGTTTAGGGGTTTTGGGTTCCTTTATAAGGGATCTGAGAGGGGCTTAAGGGATCTATAGGATGCAATAGGGGTTTAGGGGTCCTTTAAGGGATCTATAGGGGTTTAGGTTTCCTTTAAGGGATCTATAAGGTTTGGGCTTCCTTTAAGGGATCTATAGGGGTTTAGGGTTCCTTTAAGTGATCTATAAAGGTTTCGGGTTCCTTTAAGGGATCTATAGGGGTTTAGGGTTCCTTTAAGGGATCTATGGGGGTTTCGGGTGTAGGGGCGTTTCGGGGTTTGTGGGGTTTGGGTTTTGTGGGTGGAAGGTCTCAGGGATTCCGAAGAGTCGAGGGACACTCTACGTGCTCCCTTTTAGGTTTCCCGGGTTTAGGGTTTAGGGTTTAGGTTTCCAGACGGGTTCCTTGCCTTCCTTGTTTCGAGAGGGTTTTGTGTGGGAGTTTGGAGGGCATAGAAAAGATATGTGTTTAGAGCATACGGCTTCTTTGTTGACCGTTTTTGAGGCTTATAACTTATCCTTGGGGTTCAGGGTAGTGTTGGCAAGGGGCTGGAGAAACAATAACCTTGAACCCCCAACGCCTTGAAACAAAATTCAACCGTTGAGCTCGTGAGACTGTAATGCACCTTTTTCTAGGAAGCTAGCTGACACAGCAAAAAGCGAACTTCCCTTCCCTGAACCCTAAACCCTAAACCCTACACCCCTGAACCCCTAAACCATAAACCCCTAAACCCTGAACCCTAAACCCCTAAAACCTAAACCCTAAGACTCCTATACCCCTAAACCCTTCACCCTGAACCTCTTAACCCCCGAACCCCTAAACCCTAAACCCCTCAACCCCTAAACCCTTAAACCCTGCGCCCTAAACCCTGAACCCCTAAACCCTACATTCTCCCAAGACCGCCTGACAGTTCCTCCGACCTGCAGCCCTTGACACTGAACTTTCTGGTTTAGGGGTTCAGGGTTTAGGGGTTTAGGGTTTAGGGCTTAAGGGTTTAGTGTTGAGGGTTTAGGGGTTTAGTGTTTGGGGTATGAAACCCGGATGATGGCAAAAGTTAAACACCCTGAACCCTCAACACCTCTGCATCTCATTTCGGGCGAAGTGGCCAGAGCTGATTCCACTAAAATCGCCGTCACAAGGTTCATGAGGCCGACGGAAACCTCTTCTTCTTGTTAGGATTTAGGGTTTATAGAAATTGTAAAGGGTTTGGGTGCCAATAACGTTTTGACCGAAACGTTTTGAGCAGGCTTTCCTTAGCTTGGTGTGGAAGAATGAGTTCCTCTGCTGCTGCCTGGGATGCCTCACTGCCAATGAACTGTCCGAGATTGGGCTGGGCCGGGCTGGGATGGGCTGACTTGCCTAACCCTGAAACGGAAATTTGTTTATAGGAATTGGAAAGGTTGGGTTTCCGGATGGCCAACAGCAACAAGCAACTCCTATTTACTTCTTTCTTGAAGGTTTAGGGTTTTGGGTGTAGGGTTTGGGCACTATACTGAAACTAAACCCTGGCACCCTAAACCCTAAACCCCGTATGGTTACACACCCACGGGCTACGGTTCAGGTAGTTGCTCACGCGTTCCCAGGTTCCGCGGTCCGACATGGACTTCGATTCTAATTGCTGGGAAGCTCGCGATCAGGGATATACCTTGACCTGCCAAAACCTGCTTTTTTTGCAGGGTCCCTATAAATTCCCGTTTAGGATTTATAATAGGAACCTACAAACAAAAAGTAGGGTTTGGTAGTTTCAGGTAGGGTGTAAGTGTAGGGGGTTAGATTTCCAACTCCTGATGCAGGGTTTAGGACTTACGTTTTAGGATCCATGGTTTACCTGTAGTCTCCATTGTAGCCCCTTTTGGGGGATACCTTATAAAGTCCTTAATATATACTTGGTTAATCCACAAAAAGAACCCTAAGCCCTAAACCCTAAACCCCTAAACCCTAAACCCTAAACCCAAAAGGAACTACAGTGGAGACTACCCTAAACTCTATAAACCCTAAAACCCTAAACCCTAAACCCTAAACCCTAAAGGAACTACAATGGAGACTATAGGTAGGGCCCAGGAGTGAGGGTTCGAAGTTCAACACGCCGAAACCATCCTCCACACTCAAAACGTGAGGGTTTAGGGTTTAGGGTTTATAGGGTTTAGGGTTTAGGGTTTGGGGTGTAGGGTTTAGGGTTTAGGGTTTAGGGTTTAGGGTTTAGGGTTTAGTGAGGCCGAGCTGCGATCACGAGGATCGGCGCGAAGAAGATGATGAGCCAAGGCCTGCCATCGAGTCAGGGTGCAACATAACGACGTCAACAGCTCATTCTGCGGCGAACGCAGGATTTGCAACGCGATGGCCTGAAAGCTGGTGGGTAACTAAGCATCTCTAGTCCATGTTGAATAGTTTCGGAGTTTAAACGCTGTAAGCACATCGAAGGCCAAACATGGCCAAATACGATGTTCGATAGGCACATGACCGCCTAAACCCTAAACCCTAAACCCCTCAAACCCTAAATTCTTACCGACTATAAGCCTCACCTGAGGGGCTCCCTCCGGTGTCTCTGATGGCCCAAACCCTGAAATGGCAAACCCACACACCGAAAACCAAGCGTAGAAGCCTAGCGAACCTCCCTATCTTAAAGGAAACTACCGGTGGAGAGTTCAGGGTATATAGGGCTTCTAGAAGGCTTCTATAAGGTATATAGATCTTCTATAATGCTCCTATAACGGTAACTACCCACCTGAAAATGTCCTAGACTATCAAACCCTCCAAACCCGTACAGACAAGCACTAAAACCTTAAGGGGAAGGAACCTTGCACCCTGAAACGAAAACTCTAAACCCGAAAACTAAACCCCCAGGCCCCAAACCTAGGACCATAAATACAAGAAGCCCTAAAAAGAACCCAAATCACGACACTTACACAAGCCCTTACTATAGATCGTCCTACAAAGCCTGTCCAGAACCTTTTTCAAAAACAACCATAATACACTTATAGAGCCCTTATACAGCCCGAAAACAAACCCTAAAATGAACGCTTCAAGCACCATGCCAAAAGCTAGGATAGATTGCGAAAAATACTTGCGGTTTAGGATAGAACCCGAAAGTTCAGAGAAACACTGAGCGGCACCCAAGACCGTGAACCTAGCATACAACCCTGGAAGGCATTCATCAGAACCCTAAACCCCGAACCCTGAGAGAGCCCTCAAAATTGAAGAAACCCAATTCCAAAGGGTTTAGGGTTTAGGG